CAAGGAGCCTCTTCCCAATTTTGCGGACCCTGACGAGTGGTACAGCATCAAGGTGCTAACAGGGGGTGGCACAAGCCAAGAACGGTTAGAGAACCGAAAGGAAGCGCTTGTTGGCCGAACCCAAATGAGCACTACGGCGGCTGTAATGCGTGCCTGCGACGTGCATTCGGCCAAAATTACGCACTCTGGCCGACATGCAGGGGTCTCGGAAGCCTACGAAAGAGGCTTAAGCCTGGACGATATTCGCCACTTGGGAAGGTGGGTCATGGGGCAAATGGAGAACTTCTATGCTCCAAAAAACCCAACCAGGGGCGCTTTTTGTATGGCTCAGTTTGGACCGAATGAGCCTTACTTTATCGAGCGTGATTTGGTCACCCCGCCCTTAGAGCTCCAGCGTCTGGTCTTTCCTTGGATTGAGGAAAATTTTGATAAAGATATGCCGGAGAGAGCTGACTCCTGGAGAGAGGAGTGCACCAAAGAAATGCTGGGGGTCGATCCAAATGTCCCGACAGACGAAGACATTTTTTGGACGCCAATCGAGAAGAAGACGAGCTCGAAACGATTGACCCGTGCCTTCAGCACTGACTCCCTTGTTACACGCATTGGGTTCCTCAAACTTCTTGTGCGTATGAGGCGAGTAATCCTTCAGGATGCAGTGCTCTTTTTGAAGCCGAACGACAAGGGGAAAATGTTGGAGAACAAACTCCTCGAATCGTTACCAGAAATCTTTGGTTGCCAGCTCTTTCTGGATTTCCAACATCAATTGCTTCGGGCCATCGACGTACATCGCCGACAAGCAGGCATCATCCAAGCGGATGTGCCAGTTAATGCGCAAACTATGGTAAGCGCCATTAACACGTTGTCGGTAGAGGCGCGGGTCTTTCATCAACTCCAGCATGAGACGGTCCAGAAGCTCGAGGCCCTATCCACCCTTGTGACAGAGCAACAGGAGCAACAGAGGCAGCAACAGGAGCAACAGAGGCAGCAACAGGAGCAAATCCACTTACTTCTCCAATCGCTGCAGCAGCAACAAAGCGCAAATGTGCGGCAGCCTTTTCCATATCATGTGCAGTCTTGCCCGCCCTTTGTGTTTAATCCTTCTCCATTGGCGCCAGCACAGAGCCGCCTAGCTTCTTTTCCTTCGGTTCCTCAGGCTCCTACTACGCAGGGCCTATATCAAGCTCGCCAGGCCGCTCCACCGTAACAGCAGCCATTATTTTCCAACCAATTGCCACCATGTCCTCAGCAACAGCATCCATATCAACATAGCCATGTGCAGGCTCCAATGACCTCAGAGCAGACACAACGATTGCCGGAAGATGAAAGGTATAAAGGCTACCTCATGAAAGGCGATGGCAAGCAATTGACGGTCAGGGAAGCATGGGATGAATTCCGTGGGCCCGTTGCTCAGGCAAAGCAGGAAAATCACAAATGGCCATTCACAGAGGCGCGTCACAAGGCATTCAGGCGCAGGCGTCAAATTTTCGATCTGATAAAGAATATTGCCGAAAAACAGAAGCGAGACTTCGAAGAGGTAGTAGACGCACTGACAGCTCAGTACAAGGGTCGGACAATCAATTCCATTCGACTAGAGCTTCTGAAAGACACCGGGAATGACGAAGGCTGCCACCAAGATGCGGACGAGTAGATGAGTAAGGGTAAATTTTTTTTTTCTTTTTTTTTTTTTATATACATATATATATCCTCGGATACAAATTTAAGCAATAAAGCACAAAGTAGTGATGGTGTCGGAAATACCAAGACATGAACTGAGCTACAAGAGGCAGAAAACTGTTGGCTGCATCCTTGAGCCAAATGAGGCTGAGAAAATACAATGTACAAGCAATCCATTGTCGTGAAATTTGTGATATTCCAAGGTGTTTAGCATAAGTATCATCCAGGAAAAAGCATTATCGTCAACATTATTAACAAGACAAAACACCATCAAAGCGCTATCAAAGCATTTTTGACTCGACTCGGCTACCAACGCACTATAACAGAAATAATTGAATACTTCATCAATATAAAAACTGTCATGTTTAATCATTAACACTGTCTCTACCATAAAAAGATTTTGTCTATTTCGCTTCACAATCTATACCATTGATCACAACTGCTACTCATGACTTGAACAGGCATACCAACCCCTTCTTCCTTGCTCTCATAACCGCTCACATCCTTTCGATGCATTCTTTCGCCGTTTATGTCCACTACATCTGAACCACACACAGTTCACCACTCACTCCAACAGAGATATTTATATCACCTTGGGTATGATATTTTGCTGTGGTTCCCTCTGGTTTCAACAGGCCCAACAAACTCTATTAGCAGTGTTTACCAACCCAGGGAACACAAGAAGACGAGGAAGCAAATGATGTGACAAATCAAGTCTTGCCGAGCAAGCTCCATGGTGCGGTAGAATGAATTAACTCAGATTGCCCTCCTTTCAAGTCGAGACTACGGCGGCGAATATTATCACTGCTATATTACACCTGTCAATAAATAAACGATACAATGGACTCCCAAGCGGATGCTAGGGTCATGCGAAAGTCTTCATGAGTTTTTTATTTGCACAAATAAAAAAGCCAGGATAGCTCCATGACAATTTAGTTTTCGGTCATTTATTTCGACATCGAAATAAAATTTCAAGACAATGCCCATGGATTGCTGGATTTTAAGCCCATTTATAATGGCAAATTTGCCCTTGTTATGGACGAAGGGATAAGACAAGGATGGTCCCCTTGGATGTTTCCCGTTTAAACTTGAAATCGAACTTCATCTCGTTTTTCTGAATTCCAGCACGGTTAAACTGCAATGATGTCAACGATAAATCTCTCTGTTAATGGGCCCATGATATTTATGAGAGTGAGAACACTTTAAATATAAAACTGTCTCGTATCAATAAGGTAGTAAGGAAAGCTCCATATTTTTATCATTAAGTTTTTTTTTTTAAAAAAAAAAGAAAAGTAAACCTGAACGAGCATAGAGTTCGACATGAGTCTGTGTTTAGTGTATAACAGAAAGAAGGAATCATCGAGCTCTTGGACATGGATGCTCACTGTTGATGAGGCAGACAGAAAACAAGACATTAGCAATAGCAATCAAGGGAGGAATGTCGATTCTAACTTTTAGTTTTAACCTCCTTCACCTTTTTTTTCACTAACAACAATATATACGCCCGAGTCTCAAGAGAATAGCCAGAATTTTCAGACAAGGAAAACGGCAAGGAGCCAAGAAAAAGAGAAAGAGAGAAAGGAAATAGAACAATAACCACGTCTTTTCTTCTTTATCCTTCGATAAAAATGATCAAGAAAATCATCTTGTCTCCTGTCGAGTAAGTTGTGCTATTGGTTTGCTGTGCATGCTTATTGCTTGCTGTTTGATAGTCTACTTCAACTTCAACGTGTGTTCACGTTTGTAAATGGGATATTTTCCTCCCAGGTTCTATCAATCTGACTTTAAGTCAGAAAGGATGCCCCTGTTCCCGAATTCCTTTTTTTAGGTTTACAACATCTCCCTTTCTGCTCCTTCTCTCCTACTAGCTGGCTTGACCCTCTTCCTCTCCCTATTCTTATCCTCGTCCTCACCGTTTTTTTTCTCTTGCCGTCTTCATGTAATACTCGGCCATCGTTATCAAACCTCTCCTCCATATCCTCAACACATCAACATTTCTCTACCTATCTTTCCCTCCTCAGGGACATGTGCTTTTCTACAAATACCTTTTCTTTCTCAATCTAAGGCTATACGTTCACCTCAACTTCATCATCTCTGCCTTCATCACTACTATTATCCCTTGGTCTTTACTGAGATCAGCAGGAACGTAGTAGGGCTTTTTAGCCGATCATCAATATTAAGATCAACTTCAACATCAGTCGTAGCAACAGTAGTCGTAGTCGTAGTAGTCACAACTAAATTAACAACAGCATAATTGCAATAATTGCGATAATCATTCTCACTACCCTGACCATCTTAGACCAGACATGCAATCCAAGCTCCGCAATCCACTACTGCAATAGTAACATTCAAAGGAGCAAATCATTTAATTCCGCGAAGACCAATCCTTTCTGATGGTGATCCGTCTCCGTCTTCTTCCTGTGTTGTCTCCCGCATCGATTTTAGCTTTGTCTCCTGCCTTCCTCTTGTCTCCCTCTCCAACCTGAGCAACTTCAATTTCTCCTTGTCTCTAACTTAATCCTGCCATGCTGTCTCTACGACAACTACGCACGACCTCCACTCTGATCTGCAGACAAACACGAACTCTTGCGTAGCTCAATTGCAAACACGCGCCTGTGTCACCACCACACCACCTTGTGCACCTGCCGAAAAGAGCCTTCTAAATCCGTATGTCTGTCTCTGCGCTTTTATCTTTCTCCGCAATTTGTCTCAAGACATCTCGAACAATGGCAGAGACAGTGGAGCCAATAGTGACTCTTCCAATTCAGTTGTAATTCCAGCTTCTACTTTAATTCCCACAGCCTCCACTGTCTCCACCTCGAACTCGGCTCGTAGCTCCTTCACTTTTTCTTCTTTTTTCATCTCTCTCACACCCCTCTACCACACTCCCTTCTGCTTCGCTGTCGAAATCCAGTGACCCGCCTTTTCTCACTCTACTTTTCTCCTCTCCTCCCTTTTTCGACTCATCCCTATAACCCTTTTCATCGTTTTTAACACCCTCATCTGCTCCTTCGCCGCTACCCCACTCTTTCTTCTCCAACTCGAAGCGGACATTACCACCATCCCCACTACAACAACAATACAAGGATCAGTATCACAAAACAAAACCATCACTGATAGCGGTCTATACAGCAGCAACAGCAACAACAATAGAAGCAGCAATACCACAGAAGCCTCAGCTGATACAAGTGCAAACCAAATCTCTTCCCAGTTTATACCCATCTTGGCCTTTGCACCGATCGATATACCCGATTCTGTGGACCCTTGCTCTATCCCTATTGCTCTACATAACCTCGCTGTTCAACCTTCAGGAACAATAACTACTGAAGCTTTACCTTCATCTTCTCGCCTCGATCTTTCCACAATAACAATTCCTCTGCTTAAGCATTCACGACCTCAGAACATCCAATTACCAGAACTTGACGGAGCCATGGCACAAAGACAGCCCTGTAACGACCTACCCCCAACATCCATCATTATCCCACCATATTCTCGTTCATCATCCCCGCCATTTGTCACTAAGATCAGTTCCCACTCAAAATCCGTGGGTAGTGACATGCGTTCGTCAGTGAAGAGTCGGCTTCTTCGTAATTGGATTGGTCAAAATGGACAACAGGAATACAAGATCTTGGAACGCTCCCTTGCAAGGTATACTATAGACAAATGCTTTTTTTTTTTTTCATACTTGATCATGGATAATGGATGTCTCAATGATTGAGCCCTCGTCCTTTTCATGAAATCTGTTTTTACTACTTTGCACCAATGCTTTCTCTCCTCCCAGTTTATTTTTCAACTTTTCATGGTTAAAAAAAAAAAAAGTTCAAATAAGAATGGGTGACACTGCCGAATATGCAAACAAATAGCTCCTATTGCAATGTACCGCTTGGCGGAAGTGGCTCTTATGCATGATTACCTGCACTCGCCATGGCAAGGCTTTTTTTGTCTACCATCTCCCACTCTCCCTCCCCTTCCCCTTCCCCCTCCTTTATCTCTATATCTTCCTCAACTAAAAAAAAATAGATTTATGCCAATGTCTCCTCATTCATTTATTCAGTTTGCTCACATCCATGAGACATTTTCTGTCTATATGTTAAAATAACTAGGTTCCATCAAAAAGACAGATACCGGATCGACGTCCTCAAAACGAACCTCTTGCCCTGGCTTCGAAAAGACCAACCATGTTTAGGTATGAAAAAAGTATTGACCACTTAGGGCTAGAACAGGGAAAAAGGGGGAGGAATAGAGCGACGAGCAGTCATTTTTCCCCCTCCAGTGATGCAGCTAAAAAAAAAAAAAAAAAAAAAAAAAAAGAATACCTTAAATTGGAGTTACACTCTAAATGTCCCATAATAATTTTGGATCATAGATTTATTATCTGAAGCATCACTCAAAACTGGACGACAGCTTATAATACAATGGTAAGTGTGGCGGTTGGTGAGCTTGAGGCAAATGGATTGCTAGGAATGTTTGTAGTTGGAATAAAGCTAGAAATAGGTTACAACCTTTTGTCTATTTTATTGTAATGCACTTTGTGCAATAACAAACAAAGGAAGCATCTGGGAATTTAGAGAATTGCGTAACAGACCCTATCCGCCACCCTGGTCATGCATACGGGAAAATTGTCTGGGTTTATGAGAGCTTATAGGGAAGTACAAAGGTTTCAACTAAATTATGAGAACTAACGTTACCTTCATGGGCTGTGCTCATAGGTGGTCCACACTTCTATCTGCTTTACCAGATGCTCTGTATACGGATAGATGTCATTATTTTGAAGCCATCCTTGCCCTTATGACTCGGTAAGCTCCCATCTCTATCAACTGTGGCTGAATATCTAGAGATTAAAGCGTGGCATGCCAGACTAGGACTAATAATATGTACATCTCATGGATCTATGATATGATAATAATAGAAAAGAATTCGAAGAGTTTGGTATGATTTTTTAATCCCAGCATAAGTATAGATTTTGAACTAAAAGAAATACTGCGGCAACATAATAGCATTATTTAACTTCATGATACCGCATTGCCCTGTATAACTACTAATAGATCGCGTTGAGGATACGATTTCAAAACCATCAACCCCATCAACTGTTAGGACATTCGTTGACGGATCAGGCGCAGGCTCTGTTACAGAACATACATCCTCGACAACATCTATAGCGTCTAGCACAACTCTAGGGTCAGGATACCCTTTTACAGACTCTAGCGCATTCTGGTCATCATTTCAACAATATCGCAGGATGTTGACACAGTCTCTGCAATACGCAATTGAACGGCTGAATCAAAAGGGAGTCTACTCCAATGTCATTACTTTTTGCGCAAAGATCCTAGCTATTTGTTTCTTCAAGCTTCCTGGCGTCGCATTTGGACTGCTTCACGCACTTCCAGCAAGTCGTTCTTATATCAGTCGTATGGCAAAAGCCATGGATCTCGTAGGGTATGACTTACCTTCACTATTGGATGCTCGCTCTTTAAATCCAAGTCATGGCAATCATGCAAGCATGGAAGAGTTGACCTTTTGACTTCCTGTCCTTTCTTGATTTCTAGCGAAAACTGCGGCATGCCTCAAATCACAACCTTTTTCCCCGAACACCTCTTACCTGTCTGTTTCATGGGCACTGGCTCTTGGTGGCGGGAGTTTGAGAAGCAGAAGCGCAGGATGAACTCAGGAGAAGGAGCGCCACCAATGGAAATGTTTGGGAACTGGGTCCGCCGCTGGCAGAGCGACGACAGTGAGCTTTTTTTCGCATTCTACCGTCATTACCATCACTGTCTCTCACAGTACTTGGAAATGCCTCTGCGGCGTATTCAAGCAGGCGGATGGGCATCTTCAGCCATCACGCCCAAAGTATATGCTGGAACGCCGGGGTATCTATATCTCTCTGCATTTTTCTTGACAAAGATTGAGGGACTCGTTCATCGTGAGATTCACCCTGTGACGACCATCGTCCAGTTTGAGCCAAATGCTGCCAACAGTAACGGAATGAGCACGGCAGAGCGGGATCGCGCCATGGCATCGGTTGCTACGGGTGAATTCCCTGGAACGGCTGCGCCGCCCGCTGTCAAATTACCCATTGGGACGGATGCTAAGGACGGCACCAATGGGGGCTCTACCGCAGGAAAACCAAAAGTGCTTGACATGGCGTCCAGGCGATTTGTTGAAACCATTGTGGCTATTATGGAAGACCATGGTAACATTTATGGCGTAATGCTGGATATTTGGATCAAAGCAGTTGTCACTAGGACAAGCGTTTATGATGTTGAGAGTGTTTTCTGTCTGCTGGATTTTTTGGATATGCTCATTGCCGAACTTGAGTCAAGGTTTGTAGTTCTTATGACTTAATTTGTAAAAAAAAAAAAATTGATTTCATTGCAATGATTTGACTAACATTGAAATATGCTTTGCCGAATGGAACAATTATAGAGAATCTATCAGGCTTTATGACAGTGAATTGGCGGCAGTGCCGCTGAATACAGGACGAGGCTGCATCTTTGTGCCAATTCATGTTCAGTTTATCCTTTCAACTCTACACTTGCTCTTAACAGGATCTGATCATACTGTCACCTTGATGCGTACCATATCATTTATCTACCAAAACTTCTCTCTTCTTACCAGTACTGTACAGACTTTGGAGCAATTGACACTTGGCACCTTATTATGTCCCGATGTTTTTGAAAAGTGCTTTTTGCATTGGGCTCGCAATGTCCGACTATATTACATGAGGTGCTTAGTGTGGCGCGTTGCCAGAATCGGTGGTGGTGTCGGGGTTCTGCCAGGTTGGAAAGCGTGGACTCCTGATGACCTTTCATTAGATGGGCAGGAACAACAGCAGCAGACAACGGCCTCAGGAGGAATGGCATCAAGTGAAGGGAACAGCCCCAACTCTCCAAAAAAAACTATGACGACGAGAGAGGCTCTAGAGTCTATGAAAGGATTGCCCATTGAACAGTCATTGATTCTGATTGTCAGGTACGATAACTATATACCCTCACATTCCAAACTTGCGTTATTGGATTCGACTTATGCTCATCGTTTAACATGGTTTACCCAATATGGACATTTACAATAGAAATATTTTTGAGGTCATGGAAGGTAGAATCGAGATGGTGAGGCGTCAATATGCAGGAGAGCTTTCAGAGGTCATGTCACCAATGTTCAGTGATAAGGGATCAGAAAACTCACCATCAGAGTCAATATCCTCATCGCCAGGTCCAGACAAGCAGTCAGCATCAGCTACATCCCCAACTAATGAGGGGTCGCCGGTTCAGACAACGCGACAGCGATCTCTTTCTGATGGTATGGTTCAGGATGAGGAGAGCCGCGAAAAGGCTCGGGCTTTCTACCAGCTTCAGGCCCAACAGATTTATTTGTCGCATCAAAAGTTGACGTCGTCCGATAGCAACATTAAGACTGTTAAAGATAAGAGCAAGAAGTCACTCAGTCGATCCAGTCTGATTGGTAGAAAACTTAGACGCCTCAGTCGGACTGACAACAACTCGGTAAATATGGGATCCGATACTCAACAGCGCAACGTTCTGGAAGGGGACACGAGCCTTTGCGACTCTTCGACCGCGAATATCACTGGCGGCAGTATCACCTCTGGAAGCAAGCGCGCCAGCACTGGGTCCGCCCCGCTTTCAGCTGGAAGCTTGCTCAGATGGATGTTCTCAGGAGACAAGAACAATAATAGCAGTAAAATGGTTGTAACTGGAAGTTCAGATGAACAAAAATCGAATCCAAACTTGTGTTCTAGCAAAAGTGAAGACGGATTTTCAGGATCGAACTACTCTTATACAAGCAACTCGCTTGCTTCCTCTTCTACTTCATTGACCTTGAATGATAGCGCCACTGACATCCTCCGACATACTGATAGCAATAGCCAATCACAATGTGCCCCACAGCTGTCACCTCGTTTGCGTTACGGACTGGATTCACGGAAATATCCAGAACACGCGACTACTTATGCTGGACGCTCACTACCGGAGCACTCGGCTGTTTTAAACGAGTATGTGGATTGGTTGGCACAATGTCATGCTTATGGCATTAAATCCAAGATGAACTACGTTCCCAATAATAGTCTCGTTGCGGGTCCAGGACAACCGGGAGGGGTTCCTGGGATTGGTCTGGGACCAAATAGTATTTCTGGTATGGATAGTTTATTAGAAGATTTTGATGGGTTTAGCGTGTTCAGTCTGAGTGTGGGCGCTGTAGTGAACGCAAACATGGTGGCAGGGCAGCAGGATGAATGGATCTCTCCTGGTATGGCTCACATGATGATGCTTCGGTTTCCAGGTCTTGTTGTTGAGTGGCCCAAGTTCTGGAACAATACGCGTGAGGCCTCGGGTCCTCCTCCTGGTCCTATCACAACTTTGTCAGCTCTGACGGTCGTAAACAACCCGGCGTTCTCACTCAGTAAAGGAAACGCAGGGGGTGTGACTGCTGGAGTGAGCGCAGGTGCAGGTGGACCATTCGGAGGCGCCAGTTTGAATGGGTCACATACCAATGGACCAAGCTCTTTGAAACATCAACAACAGGCACAGATGCATCATCAGCAGCAGATGCAATTATGGAGTCGGAACGCTGCTGCGGCTGCTAATGCTAATGCTAATGGTAGCACTATAGCCACCACTGCCACAACTACGACCTCAAGTGGAAATACCATGCCATCAATCTCTGGCACGCCCATCTTGCCAAATTTTTCAGGATTTACAAACAACACCTCTACCTCCACTGAATCAATGTAAAATATATAGACTTGAGCATCTACACTTTTTTTTTATGAACTTTTAATTTACATTTACTTAGTACACATAATATACGGTGCAGATCATGCTATTGTTTTCATTGCCAATGTGATGATGTTCTACGATTTTTTTTAAGGTGATAGAGTGAATATATGGGAATAAATATAGATGGAAAAGGAGGAGCCAGCCTCATTCAGCCTTCAATATTTATCTGAAAAAGAAAAAGAGAAAATGCGCTCTTTTTTTTAGTTATCCTCAGCAAGATCCTTGAAGATGCAAGTCATGTTGCTAAGAGTACCGTTGTTAGGGATAGGAACAGGAGGCTTAATCTCACCGTCATCTTCCTTCTCTTCTTCCTCGCGGCCAATGACACGGAGATCCCAGCAAGAAGTGTACCACTCGTCGTCATTCAACTCCCAGCGCCACTGAACCATGTAGGTACCAGTCTTGCGGTCCTCTGGGATCTTGAAGCAGCCTCCGCATGGAGTATGGTCGGTATCACCACGAATGTGGTTGCAGTTCTTGTAAGGGAGTTTGGCAATATTCATCTTCATGAGCTGAGACTGAGAAGGATCACGGTTAGTAGGCTCGCTGGGCATGTTGATGAATACGCCGCGATCGTCTTCATCGGGGACTGCATGGTTCTTAGCGGGCCAGCGGACACAGATCTCTTCGCCGGCTTTGCCAGTGGCCATGGCGCCGTATCTTCCACCATAAGCTTTGGAGATGGGGTTCTGGCGTGTCTCATCAGCACCAGGTTCACGACCATGTCTACCATCGGAGCAGGAAGTGAAGTCACTGGGGTTTTGTTGGTAGTGGCGGTTAGGGGAGGCCGAGTCGAGGCCACCAAAAGTGACTCTGGAGGTGACAGGGTACTTGCGAGCCCAGCCAAAGCACTTTCCGTGTTTGTTGGTCCAGCCTATTAAATTACATATTTATAATAACACATGAATTAGAATACTATTTATGCGCGTGAATTCTACTCTGTAAGTGAGAAATGAAGAAAAACGGTATGACAAAGAGTACAGAAGCACAGGAGTAAACAAATAAAGAGCCGATCGTGGGGGAAAACGATTGTTGAGAGCAGTGACACATTCTCGTCAATCAGAAGATGATGAAAAGAGCCCTTTCGCAAAATGTTTTTCAATAGATTGTAAACCCAATGGGTTTATGTTGAAAAATTATATTTCATATATTATTTAGATGTATAAATCTTCTTTTTTTGCTATTATTATCATTTCTTACCTGGATTTTTAGGGTCATTGAAGCGCCAGTCGACACAGTCAGCCCAAGAGTGGGCTTCGGTGACAGTGGTCAAAAGAGTCATGGCGAGAGCAACCAAGGCGCAGAGAGTAGTACGAGCAAGCATGTTGATGTTCAAAAGGTGTTAACGGTATTGATGGAGAGAGGTTATGCTAATGAGTAAAATCGTAGGTGTGTAGCTGTCAAAAAAAATGTGGAGTAATAAGAGTGAAAAAGTCAGGAAAGAGGAGGGCGAGGGCGAGAGTGAAGGAGCGGAATGTCGGTGTTACTGAAGGGCGAAGCAGGTTTCGTAATTATCCGAATGATTTTTGATTCTTGTTCAAAGAATGGAAAGGTGGTGGATGAATATCCAGTGGAATGGCGTGATGGTGATGAAGAAAAAAAAAAAAAAAAAAAAAAAAGGTGAACGATGCGATCCTTTTTATATTGAGGATGAATGGGAAAGTTGTTGCTTTGTATACATATATACATGTAAAGTCTTGTAGTCTAATGGTCCCAAAATTCTCAAAATTCTTTATGTCGGAAGTCGACTTGAAACAAAGACTAATGAAAACCTTAGGGCCAACCGACCAATCAAAGTGGTGTTTCTCTGGAACAGGAGTACAATAGTTCATTAGTCTGCCTCATATCCAATGTTTTTTGTTGGTGTTTATTGCTGTTGATGTTGTACCTGTAGCAAAACATGCCGAAAAAAAATAGGCTTCACATGAGATAACATTTTGGACTAATCGAATGCATTTATCAACCGTTTACTGAATCCCTGGATTCTCAGGCAAGGAGAAATGTGAACAACATCATGGTATATATATACGGTGCAACAAGGAAATTGCGGTTAATTAATAAGAACGATCAATCCAAACAAGGCACTTTTTAGATGAAAACCCTTTTAAGGCATAGTTCCATACAGTATGTTCAGATTTTCTCATATATATCTCCGATCATCTAAAGTAAACAAATAAGTGCTACTCAAAAGTTTTTCCTTGAGTGTTCATACCTTCACGACTCCGCTTCCATTCTTACGACTCATCTTTACTGTCGCTTACTAAGATTATACATAGAGCTATGACCAGGCCTTTTCGTTTATTAGAGAAAAAAGAGTATATTAAATTCATATGTGGTTGGAGGAAAACTCACATTTATCCGGACCTCCGCGGTAAACATAGTCTCTATAGTCAATTCAAGTGAACCACCAAGGTATACTTACAATATTGATGGAATATTTTATTTTCAAACATTCCTTCAATTTTCTGGTTGTGCTAGAACAAAAAAAGACAAACAAAAGCTGGTGGTGCATTTGATTGGAAAAGCAAAGATGAGTTTTGCTACTGTATGGCACTGAAAGTTGAAGGGCGTTGCTTTTGTCACACATTCATAATGCGCCCCATGCTTAGTGCCTATCTGTTGTATTGGATATATATACATATTACATGTTTGTATAGTCTTCATTCCATTGTTATACTGTTAAATAAAACAAGTATGTTTCTGCCTTCAGTATAAATATTTACTGCATACACCTAGTTTATTCATTGCTTGAGCTTGTGCTTCTCTGTAACAGATGAAGCTCTAGGCGACTATCACTCCTGGGATTCCGAGAAACCAAAGCTGCTTCTCTTTGTTCATGAATCCATAGTTTTCTCCTTCGTTTGTCAGTGAAACATAGATGACCAAATTTTTTCCTTTAAAAATCCCCAGTAAGATTTAAATCATGAGGTCATTTCATAAATTAAACTGCCTTTAAACAAGTCATAAATGTGCGTGCATTCCGCACCTCAGGTCAACGATTCTCTATTGTACTCACAGGTTGGTTGAATTTGCCGAAATTAATTTAGCAATACCAAATGAAAATTCTTGATTGCGCGCTAAGCGAGGCTAAGTTCGGGAAGGACCAAGCTTAAAGTGGTGGGAAACAAAAGACTTGATCAGCTGAACAATCTACAGTGGAATCTCGATAATTGTACACTTTTGTACAAATTTCAAATTTGATATATTTCTAGGCCATTGGTTGGCTAAGAGCCTTACTCTTTTAAAAAAAAGTATTCTAAAAAACCCACACTCAACTGGAGTAGGGGAATCAGCAGAGGATTTTTAGAATAGTTTTTCATGAATTGTGGGCTTCTTAGCCAATCAATAACCGAGAAATATAGCAAATTCGAAAATTGTACAAAAGTGTACAATTATCGAGATTCCACTGTACAGTACATGCGCATGGACAGTAATTATTTGGTGAAACCAGTGTCGTTTGTATTCCGACCACAACGCATTTCATGTATTTGAAAGTTTGTCTCGAAAACCTTTGAATCCAACATGCTAGGAGTGCCCCGCCTTTCTCTGATTTTTCTAGGTCATTCTACGAGAACTAGCACATTTATTAGAAATAGACTCTATAGATGGGTTGCCCTATTACTAGGGACGTAAAGCGTTTTCCAATAATCGGTCTTAACCGCATCCTATTCACAAACCACGTCGGCATGAGCGGTAATTCTTGATCCCTACGGAACCTCTGACGAGTCCTGCTCCCCACTTGGCCTGCTGTGCGCTAAAGTCATCTTCTAGCCGCAGTCCTCAATCATCAAAAAACGACACCATCCCAGCCGTTCCATTACTGTCAGTTCTAATTGTTGCCGATAGCTCCCTGCTACTCTTTGGTCAGCTTCCATCGTGATCGCTTTCACGTCAGCTGTTCGTCGTTGTCTCAGGGTAGGTCCTAAGAAATCACCTCTGCTACGTCTGTGCTGCCCAACAAGGTGCATCCCCTGACGCGTTTGCTCACAGAGGTGACGCCTTTAGTTCTTTCCCAGTCGACAGTAACTTTACAGCGTCTGTTCCGGATCTCAGTCCTTCCGATTTCCTCGATAGCTTTGATAAATCTGCAAACCACATATTTTGCAATAGATGCGGTTGTCTTGAAAGTATCTTTCCAATTCTTGACCATGTCTTTCGGCACCAATCCATGGTAAAGGTCTTGGACTGTCCTGATGGCTCCTTCGCCGTCGTCATCTTTATCGTCTTCATCGACGAATTGCAGCAGCTCCTCTGTACATGCCTTCCAATGACGCCCATATCACCTCTTCACTTGCTGGCATGAACATAGGTCCCTTGCCAATCTGTTTCTGTTCTGGTGCCTGTGCCCGACGCAGCTTGTCCCCCTAAAGTCTCCTCTCCTTCGCTAGAGCCCTTTGTCTGTCACGATTGATATTCTCAATCGCTCTAATCGCTCTTGTCCACCCTTCCAACTGCTTAGTAAATTAAAATATTGATTAGCCACAGTATTTTATTTTCAGGTTATTTTGTATCTTCTAATCGGGACATCACAGCTAAAAGAATCTTTGTGCAAAGCCCTATAGGCTATAGGCGAGTCCACCTCACCGAGAAAGCACCACGGTCAGGCCTGTAGGCTAGGTTTTAAAGCTAAAGAAACTTCCTTCTCAATGAAGCCTTCAGTTTTCCCCATATGTCTTGTTCTTCACCTGCAGTTCACCTTGCCATTTATCTTTTTTCCCTTTTCACAGCAAGCGTTTGTCATCCGGTAACTCAGTTGGTGAGCTCACCTATAAAACTCCCATCTTCTCTTTTGGCATCCTATGGCGCTGTTTGTCGTCAAGGTTATTTTTTTTTTTTTTTTTTTTTTTTTTTTTTTTGATAACAAGGACCCACGAGGTCATGTAGGATTTATTTTGATGTTAGCTCTATAAATGGGTTGCCCCATTACTGGGGTCGCAAATAAAGCGGTATCCAATAATCGGCCGAAGCCGCATCGTCATACTGCCACAGTACTACATCCTGTTCATAAACCACGTCAGCATTGAGTAGACTTCCTTGGTCCCAGAGGACCTGTGGCACGGCTCTACTCCCTACTTGGCCTGTTGTGCGCGAAGGTCATCCTTTAGCCGCTGTCCTCAATCATCAAAAATTTACAGCTTTCCAGGCGCTCCATAATCGCCAATTCCACCTGCTGCCGGTAGCTTGCCACCACTCGCCGGTCTGCCTCAGTCCTGATCGCCTTCACATCTGCTGTTCGTCGTTGTCCCTGGTGAGAGCCAAAGAATTCACCTCTGCTACGTCTGTGCCTCCCAACACAGTTGCGTCCCCTGGCGCGTTTGCTCACAGAGGTGATACCATTTTCTCTTTCCCAGTTGACGGTGACTTTGCAGCGTCTGTTCCAGATTTCAGTCCTGCCGAGTTCCTCGATTGACTTGACAAAGCGGCAAACAATGTACCTTGAGATCGATGCTGTGGTTCTGAAGATCGTCTTCCATTTTTGTATCAGTTCCTTCGGCACCAAACCGTGGTACAAGTCTTGGACAGTCCAGTGGGCATCCTCACCCTCGTTCCTCCGTCCCATATCCACATCTTCCTCACCAAACAGAGTGCTCGCATGTCGAATCTCTCTGACGCCCTTGAACATCGCTTCCAAAGAGCCCCAAATCACGTTGTCGGCTACAGGTGTAAACGAGGGGCCTCCTTTATTCAGGTTTGGCTCCTGTGTTTTCCCTTGTTTGTCTTCCCAGAGCTTCTTCTCCTTCACTAATGCTCTTTTGCCATCCTTCGTGATGAGTTCTATGGCCTGCTTCCAACCTTTCAATTGCTCGTCCAGTGTCATGGGACATCGCCAGAGGTGTTCTATGTCCTCCTGCTCCTGTTCACACATCCTGCAGATGTCAGTCTCATACAGGTCCGGTCGCCACTGCCTCATATAAGTGAGTGTAGGAAGCATACCATGGACCTTCTTTATTCTGTGCGCTCTCTTGTGACAATCTGCTGGGCTGGTGAAGAGGCCTCTAGGCGTGTTGCCATCGTGAAGAATATGCAGGCTTGCTTTCCATTCTACTTCTCGCCAGTCTGCAATATAATTCCTGACTCTGTTCTGAGACGCCCACAAATAATGTGTTCTCACTGCTGATTGGAGTTTTAGCAGGTGTCTAAGATCATCCTCCACCACCTCGTTCTCGAAAATAGCGTGGCAGCGCAGATCGTTGTGTTCCAGTACTTTGATTGTCCACATTTCGCTAAAATGAGCATCTTTGGCGGCTTGGTCTGCCCTTATATTGCCTCTATTCCCAGCATGGCCCTTGACCCATTTCACAGTTACCTTCCCGCCCTGCTTAAAGAGCGCTCTCGAAATGGCTGCCCACCACACTGCGTACTTGGATCGCAATCGCTGCCGTTCAGTGCTTGCTTCTCGCTTTTGAGTAAGGTCCTTGAACTGAACCACTACCGCCATGTTGTCTATGTAGACAGTCGTTGGAACGTTACGGGGACTGACTAGAATGGCTGCGTACAGTCCTACTAGCTCTGCCTTGGTGGATGAAGCATACCCATCGACTCTACCTGAAACTACATTTGAGAAGCTTTCTGGGCCTATCTGAG